AACAGAATAAATTATATTGTGCGCAATAGTAATTTTATTTAAATTTATATATTTATATATTTAGAATTTATATATTGTATATATATATATATATATATTTATATATAATATAGAAAATATAATAGATTCTCTCTCTAAACCGATGATGATCTATGAATCCAATTTAAAAGCTATAATTAAAAGCTTGCAAATTTTTAATTGACTTCCACTTATATGATCAATAAAATTTGCAATATAACAGATAATATCAGTTTCATAAAGAATTATGCATAGTAAAAGCAATATAAATATTGCATGCAAAATCAATCTAATCAATATGTCAATTAGAGTTTGTTATTATAGAGTTGCATATTATCTTGTAATATCAAATTTTCTGTATTTTTTAAAATTACAATTTTTTGTGGTATAGCAAAATTGGTTTTTTCTAAGAAAAATTGTATTTTTAGTCTGTGCATAATAAATCGAATAAATTTCAACGATTCTTACCTTAAAAAGCGATCTTAATCAACTATATATGTCCCATTCTGTTCGATGACTTTCTTCTATCCACAAGCTTCATTATAGAAGTAATATTTGATTCAACTCTATTCAACACATTGATTTCATTAAAGACGTATATGAGGTAATTACGAAGTTCCTTAGAGAGAAAATGAGAAGTTCGCTGCGCGGAGATCATAATTCAAAGATCGACGAGAGATAGAAGATACTTAAAAACTTTTAACCGTGATAGTTGCTTCTTCGACTTTCTTTACAGATGGTCTTATTTTGTTTTTTGTCGGAAGTTTAAGATCCATCCGATAGACTCCGCCGATCGTTAAGTTAGGGTGAAATATCTTAGGATTGGTAAATCGCAAAGGAAAACTCTTTTCAAACTCGATCCTCTTCCTCTCAGTATGACAAGCCCACTACTATAAGTGCACATTGTAACTTACGGTTTGGCATACAAAATATCGTAAGAAAAGAAACTCCGATCGGACACGAACGAAACCAATGAGCTTAGCGACGTGTGAAGGGGATAGAAGCTGAAAAGATCCTACCAGAAAAGTTTACGTGCTCCAGAGAATAATGTGATAAAACTACAAAAAAAAAAGAGAAATGAATACTGGAAAAAAAGCGTGAGTTCTAAGAAAGCCGTTGCAAACTTTCAATGTTTTTTCTTCACGTTTTAGATTTGTATATTATAGAGGCTCGAGATGCAAATTAGTGGTCGAGTAAACAATTTTAAGTTTTGAACAAAAATGCAGTTTGCACAGTTGGTTCAGACGCACTTAACAGAGAAACTATAGTTAAGATATTTGTAAATTAAAATTATTTAAATATTCGTAAAACTGCATTTAAAATAACTTAATAAATATGTAATGAGTAAATTGATGATCAGCCTAAGCGCGTACAACATATTGATTTTTTTGTGATAAAATAATTGTCAATTAAATCAAATAAGTTGTCGCTACAGATATCAATATTAATTACTTCTATACTCATTCGAAAAATTCTATTATAGTTATTGATTAATAAAAAATATAAAATTTTCCATTTTATTTCTTTTTAGTAAATTATTACAGTCGTTCCTGTGTTTGGTGCCAAGAATTATGAGTATGGTTACTTACTTTTAGATTATTTACGACAGAAAAAAATTTATTTGTTAATAAACAAGGCCTGGAAGAGTTCCGTTTAACGAGATGTTTATATATATGCGTACAAATTTCTGCGTAAACGCCTAAATACTCGTTTAACAATTTTAATGCATTAACAAATACATACACAATGATCTCCAAATATTTCAATTAAAAGAAAATAATACGCGATAGATATAAGTCTCGATAATTTTAATGAGTAAATTGAGAATTTTTATCTCATAAATTGGTTCAAGGATGTCTAGTTATCTTATTTTTTGAATATGATACACGTAAACTATATTTGCAATATTTGCATTTCATTAAAGTGATGAATACAGTTTGCTCGTTTTATCGATATTCTTGAACCACTTCTCTCGAAGTAGAAACACGTTTTTTTTTCATTTTTCTATTTATCTTATATGGTTTGAAAAGTGAAGGATCATAAAATGAGATATTTGTCTATATTCGTTAATTAATGCAACGAAATTTATCGTAAATATTTTTTTACAAAGAAATAAAAAGACTGTATATAAGTCACATTATTAGTTTAAAAAAATGTTTGAATTCAGTCTCTTTATTCCAAGAAAGAGGAGGAATACTAAATATAATTAATTGATATATTATCACAATAGAGAGTTGACTATTTTCATCTTCCGATAAGAATCTTCAAAAATACGTAAAATATAAAGATACAAGATTATTTTAAAAGAGAAAACTAAATGATCTTTTAGAGTTTAAATTATTGATAAATAAGTATACCTTTTTATAGAGAAAATAGAGTCATGATTGTGTGTGCAAAGTGAATTCTATTAAGTACATCTTATCGCAAAGTACAAAATCTCCGTCGTTTCGCATTTTCTTGTTACACGTTGAAACTAAAGACTTGGTTAATACGACGAGAGTCAAATAAAACCAGTATAAAAGAAAGTCACTGGAAAGTTGCTAGAATTATTTTGTAAAAGCCCAATAAAATTGTCGAATCCCGTAAAAATGTTTGTGTAAATGTGATACTTAATTTATGTATATTTCTTAAAAATCGTAAGCATATTAAAATAAAATTAAATATATACATATATATATATATATATATATATATACATATAAATAAAGAGATTAAAAAATTATTTCTATGAACTTATTTACACGCAATCTAATTTGTTGTTGACATTAAATTTTGTATCTGACATTAAAATATTGATACATGATTGACAAATTGACTGTTAAATTGTTATAATAATAATATATAAAAATGTTATAAAAAAACGTTAATAGTTGGAAACAAATTGAATGTGTCAGAGTGACATGTCAAGTAAATCAAATTTTAAGTTTGTCCGTGATGAATAAAAGATCAGAGGTCTTTGACGAAAGAAATTTACCAAATTATTTTTGTTTGCAATATTGAATTATATTGTAAAGCATTTCATACTAGTATTACGCGCATGTTTTTGTCGTTTCCTAGATAAGGATTATCTGCGCATATCTCTCTCGAAAACCCGTATGCATTTTCCAGAGCGGCACAAACTAATAACTGGAATAGCTAACAATTCGCACATTTAACATCTCTTAATGTCTATTGCACATTATCAGTATTACGTTCTATATTTCTTCTCTAAAGAAAACAAACCATAACACATCGAGTAGTTATCTTTTGCAAAAATTTTCATAATATCTATTAATTATTTGATGTTGACGCTGGTGCATATTTATCTCCAGCCACAGTTGTTTGATTTTAGTTATTTGCCACAGTTGTTTGATTTTAGTTATTTGGGTTTGAGAGAGAGAGAGAGAGAGAGAGTTCTGTGGACTATAATTTTACTGGTATAACTATAAACAATATTTATTTATGCAGTAATAAATATAAAAAATGTATAATTTAACAAAAATGAAAAAGAGACAAAATAAGAAGGAACCTCTTTTTCTTTCTTCTTTATTCTTTTTGTTAATATCGTTAATTATTATTTTTAATTTTCTACATATATTCTATATTCAAACATATGTTTAATTATATTGAACATTTATATAAACTTATTAGAATAATTAATAATATCTTTTCTATCAAATCTTTATGCATTTTGCAAGACGTTTAGTCAACGTTTGTTTATGTTTTATTCAGAATAAGAGTTCTTTTTTTTCTTCTAACTACTGCCAAACCTGTCTAAATATTTTCTTTGGCAGCTATTTCCCGTGATTCGCCACATTCGACTCTTTTACGATCGCCTTTTTCCGTATAGCAAATGTTTCATTCCTCTCACGATTGCTCTAGTAACCCTTTAACTGAATACCGATTGATTTTTGTTCAATGTTGTTGTATGATACGTTGGTCAGATACACTGATACATATAGTAGTACGTATAATATGTAATTTTATTTTCTTTAATGAATTTTTTGATTAAAGAATACAAGTTACATTTTTAGAAAATATAAAGATTTTAGTATTATTTATCTTATATTTCACATAAATTAACTCTTTATTTTATTTTTTTTTATTAAAAATAATTATTAAAAGTGATAAAATTATTAATTTCAGTTTACTTTCGAGAAAAATACGAGTTTGATCTTATCATGCTTTTTCACGAAACTTTCTACCCTGTTTCGCAAGGTAAAGTCTCAAATATGTTTCAATATAGAAATGATATAATACTTTCGTTTGACCTAGTATGCCGGGCCAGTCCTTTGTGAGAAAGAATTGCGCATTCATGGAAAAAGTAGAGTGCGCCTTATACGAAGGGTAGATTGGTATGTCGAAGTTTTTATGAACGTATTTATGAATTTTTATTCAATCTGACAGAAAAAAATAGATTATTGTACCGTTAAATTCTGTGCTAAAAATGATAATATTCATTAATTTTGTTGCTTTATATTCATTCATTAAATTGCAATTATTTCGTGAAATAATTAATGGACATCTACGCACTTAACACTAATTTACTCGTATAATCATTAAAAAATAGATTTAATTAAGCTTATTGCGCTACACAAAAGACATCGTTATACCTCGGAATACGTAGTAGATGACGGATTATAGGCTAAAGTATTTCACTTGATCGCGCGCAACGGAATTTCCTTCCGTCCCCATTTCATGGAAATTATATGGCTTCGAGCGACTAGTGATTTTGAAGCGTCTCGTTGACGACGTAAATACCGTAATGCAATTACACGGCGATGCAAAATGAGAATTACGATTGGATTTCATTTCACACATTTTGAACAATATTATAGTCGTGATGCGGTCATCACGAAAATCCTGGGAGATTTGCATGTGAGGCATCCAATTATCGATATGAGATTGCAAGAAGACGTTTTTATGCATGGACTTTTAGAAAAAACGGCGACTCTTAGAAAAGAAATTGCTTATAATCCGTTCTTTTGTTTACACGTGTTTCATTCATTATCCCAATACGAATGTTGAGCGTTTTTATAAATTGCGTTGCACTTTGCATACTTAATTCTGAAAATATCCAAATAAAAAATTTGGATTACAATTGCTATTTCTCAATGCAGATTATATATTCGGCAGAACGCGAAAAAGAAATGTTTAGAGAGTACTCAGCTGTATTATACCAAAATCCAATTCAGTCAGCTGGATACGAAGTGCTCCGGGAATATGCGTATGCATCTTACGATAAAACGCCACTCCCAGGCATCGCAAGTGCACTCTGCCACTCTCCGTGAATGCTATAGAGAATAAGAGAAAGGTGTATTTTGTGTTAAAATATAAACTTCATATCTTTTTGGATTAACGTAACAATAACATAAGTGAATACAACCGTGTTAATAGCCGGCTTTGTCTATACCTATTTCGAAATTTTAATGTGAATTATTAAACGTTTCGTTTTAATAGACCATTAAAATTTCATGATGAAATCTGAAACTAATCTTTATGTTTAGATATTTTAGCTGTTTTGTATTGCACGATATTATGTGTTATTATAATCGAAAGATTATGGTAGCATTCTGTGGCTGACTGTGATTCGAGAAGATTATCATTGATCCCAGTTTATACCGGCTTAACGGGTGGAAATGGTCTCAAGTGAAGTCTGAGCGAAATCGTTATTGGAAACCGTTCTTCGTTAACCGCTTTAATGGGCTATCTTTTCAGCCAAATTTCCCGACAGCTTAAGATCGTCAGAGATCTATCGAAACGGGAAATCTAAAATCAAGATGTCAACTGCTTCTATAATCATATAAAATATAATTACGTTTAATTATTATTGTAAAACACTTAATGCATTTATTCTAAACAAATATATTAGTGAATATCTAAATTAAAGTTTGATATCACAAAAAGAGGAAATTTGTAATACAAATTTTGTAATACATAAGATGGATAAATAAATAGTTAGATAAATAAATAGATATATTATGTGTATATATATTTGTGTGTATGTATCATATATATGTATATATATATGAGAGAGAGAAAGAGAAAAAGAGAAAAAACAGTTGTAAAGTTATAGCTTATTGCGACCTCTTTCGATATCTCACTCAAACCTTCAAGAAATCCACTCTACTTCGTTCCCAATGAAGCATTTTATTCTTTTCGTCCATCTTCGACCCCACTAACCCTGAATCACAGATAGCACCTTAACCATCGGTAATTTTGAAGAAAGAATAAGCGCACACATATTTTTCAGGATTTCTGATATAACATTAAGCTCGTTCTCTTAATTTTCTTGATAAAAATTTGTTATAAAGACTTATTTAATTTGCGGATATAATTATCGAAGAGAATTCAGAATTTAATAAAATAAAAACATAGAAAATAAACATAGATTGTAATCATTTACTTCAAATAATTGTTATCAATATTTCACAGAGCTTAGTATCTTTATTTAACATAATATTTATATAACTGTGCATACATTATGTTTATTAAGAAAATATAGAAAGTAAACGAAACTGAATTAAAATTGTAGTTGAGAAGTAGATCGAAAACAGAATGAAAGTAAAGAATTGTGAGTCAAACTGACTGAGATAAATCGGATCAAAACTTATCATCTTAATAAGATAATGACATTATATTAAGATAATGATAATTGGCTAAAAGCGGAGATTCAGTACTTAGTTAATTATAAATGATCGGACTTCTTTTTCACACAATTCTAGCTTCTTAATATTACAAATAAATAAAGGTATGAATTTTTTAAGAGGATAAAAACTGCAATTAGACTTTATATTGGTATAACTAAATTATTAAAAAATCAAGTCTGATAAAAATATAAGAAATAAGATAATAGAAGCAAATAAATAAAATAAAATTAATATAGGACAGTTTTTTCGGACTGATATCTTTTTCTCGCAAAATAATTTTTCGCTGTCTTCATGCACATATATCCGCGTTCTGCTCTTATAGAATTTCTATTTCCAATGTTATTTATCAATATAGGAAGCCTTACTTTAGTACTTTAATATTATTAGGACAGTTTTATTATACTGCTTATTAGTGTACAAATATTAGATTTTGAGAATAAGCAAAATTTCTACAAGATCAAATCTTATTGATGACTATAATTATTTCAAAATAATTAATTTTTATATATCCGCGGTTTATTTACATTTATTATTATATAGTCAAAGACTTAAGTTTAATTAAATGAACAACTTCGAAAACTTTGAAAACCTAATGCTGAAGTAACTGTGCTAAAAATGTGGGTGTTTAAATGTATATATATATATACATACACACATATATATAGCTTTAAATTGCCCCTGTATTTTGAATCAAAACCGCGCATTCGATATTTCAAACCCTCTGAACCGGAAAATTTTTGCAACATGATTCAAATTGCAAATCGATGCCGTGACTGTTTCGCGACAAGTAGTAGTCGTAGCAGTATATACGTACATGCGAGACCTGCGTCGACTATTATGTGGTGGCTACGAGATTCCGCTCTCGACGAGCGCTTCGTAGCAAGTGGCGGTGGGATTAAATTCGGGAAAAAAAGGGACCGGTAAAGCTGAAGATAGATAGCAGATAGATGAAAATGTGAAACGGAATTGTGAGCGAACACACCAAGGGAAAGAACACAATTCGAGGTGTCGAGTGCCAAAGGACCGACTGGCGGTGCCACGCTTCACAGACGTCCCTAGTGCGCAAGGGCGTTGGCGCTGATGACGGTACTGGAAGTATCGGGGGGTGTTCTGGGAGCTTTGGAGCTTCATGACGGGGTCGGGGGCGCGAGGGAAACGAGAGTAGAGTAGGGGGTGGTTTGAGGAAACCGTGGGGTGGGACAACCGGAGACGACTCTGCTCCCAGTCGCTCAGTCCGCGCCCCGACACGCAAACACACGCGCACTTCTTGTTTAAGGACGACGGAGTGTTATCGCGTCGTTCTTAAGCTCCGGAATTTTTTTTTTTTTAAATCGGTATGAAATTCCCGCCACGGCTAATCTAAGATCAGTTCGGGGAAATTTTCGCTATTCAATTTTCTCGTCGAATCCTCGACAATATCTGACGTTTTAATTTCAACTGGTGAGTAAGAAGATGATAGTCGATAGCGTCGTATCTGATCCGCGCGTTCGTACGAAAAGTATAGTGAGATACTTGCGGTGCCTTTTCTACGCGACAGCTGCTGCACAAAAAGTTCAACAGGAAACTTTTCAACTTTTCTAGTATTTCTCTTTATTACGCCGCTCAGATGGCCACGTTTATCTTCGATGTGGCAGTTTAGGAATGTTATGTCGCATTTGTGCGAAATTTATCATAAGACGCGGTAAAGCATGATAATTCACTTCTCTTTCATCTTCGTCAAAAAGAGAATCTCGTGTTACTCCTAGAATTATCCTCGTAATTATAATGACCACACGTCGTATCCAGGTTTCATCCTGCTAATGGAAGAACTGGCGGGTTTGCTTTATTCTCGAAAGAAATAAAAAAGATTCCGTGCTACCGTCCGTGTTAATGAAACTCTTACAATTTCGTGCACGATAAAATTTCAGTGAAACATTTTCTAAGCAAAATAAATTGTTATACGATAATTTTTTATGTCTACTACCACAATTAGTACAAACAATAGAATAAATAATATTTTGTTCTGCAAAATAATTAAATTAATTTCTTGCATCGCAGCTTATTATAACATTCTTATAATTAAAAATAAGAATACTCTTATATTAATAATATTCTTATAATTGTTTTCAAAAGATAGGAACAATTTTGTGTATGTGCTTGTGTTAAATGTTTTTTATAAGAATTTTGAATAATTTTTTTAAATAGAAATTATATTATTAAAAAAAATATTTTTTTGCATTTTTATAGATTGTTTCGACGTAAAATTTAATTTCTCATTAACTTATAACAAGAATAATATATATATTGCCGGCAATAATTGATATAGATATACATTTTCTATACTTAGAAAAGAAAGAATTAATTAATATGACACATATATCAGGAGACGCGGTAGCGTCTCGCTAAGTTATATCTTTCATTCGTCAAATTAAAATACAATCTACAAAAAAACAAAAAAAAATATCGAAAGATATCGAAAAGATAGCGAAAATATCGAAACAATAGCGAAAATTATCCGTAGGACGCTACTGTGTATCCTTTACCGGACGTAACACGATTTTCGTAACCTTGAAAACAAAAATTTGAAATATTTCATGAACGGAAACATATCAATCGAAAGCGCGATTTTTTCCGAGTAAAATGAGACCTTAACGAACTTGATAGCTCTATTGGTTGCGGAGATATGAATTTTTCAAGTTATTTTTTGGTCGAAAAGGTGTCACTTTTTTTAAGACTACGGCGTCGTACTTGTCCGCGGTCACCCATCCCGACAAAGTGATTCTGTCCGAAGCTGCTTTACCTTATCCGCGGTCACCCATCCTAGTATAGTGACATTTTCCTCAGCTGCTTAACCTTTTAAGCAACCAAACGAAAAATAAATTCTCGCTCTCTCTCACTCTCTCTCTCTCTCCCCCCTCTCTCTCCCTCTCTCTCCCCCCTTTTTCTCCCTTTCTCTCTTGCTTTCCCACGTCTTTTTTCGCTCTCTCTCGCCCTCTCTCGCTTTCTCTCGCTGTCTCTCGCTCTCTCTTGCTCTCTACCGCTCTCTCGCGTTCTCTCGCTCTCTGCCGCTCTCTCTCGCGTTCTCTCGCTCTCTCCCACTCTCTCTCGCGTTCTCTCGCTCTCTCTCGTCTCTCGCTCTCTCTCGGTTTTTTTCGCTCTTTCTCGCTTTCTCTCGCTGTTTCTCGCCTTCTCTCATTCTCTCTCGCTCTCTCGCTTTCTTCCGGTCTCTCTCGCTCTCTCCCGCTCTCTCTCTCGCGCTCTCTCGGCCTCTCTCGCTCTCTCTCGCTCCCTCTCGTCTTCTCTCACTCTCTCTTGGTTTTTTTCGCTTTCTCTCGCTGTTTCTCGCTCTCTCTCGTTCTCTCCCGCTCTCTCTCGCTTTCTTTCGCTCTCTCTCGCTCTCTCCCGCTTTGTATCGCTCTCTCTCGCTCTCTCTCGCCCTCTCTCGCTGTCTCTCGCTCCCTCTTGCTCTCTGCCGCTCTCTCTCGCGTTCTCTCGCTCTCTCTCGTCTTCTCTCGCTCTCTCTCGGTTTTTTTCGCTCTCTCTCGCTTTCTCACGCTGTTTCTCGTCTTCTCTCGTTCTCTCCCGCTCTCTCTCGCTTTCTTTCGCTCTCTCTCGCTCTCTCCCGCTCTCTATCGCTCTCTCTCGCGCTCTCTCGGCCTCTCTCGCTCCCTCTCGTCTTCTCTCACTCTCTCTCGGTTTTTTTCGCTTTCTCTCGCTGTTTCTCGCTCTCTCTCGTTCTCTCCCGCTCTCTCTCGCTTTCTTTCGCTCTCTCCCGCTTTGTATCGCTCTCTCTCGCTCTCTCTCTTGCCCTCTCTCGCTGTCTCTCGCTCCCTCTTGCTCTCTGCCGCTCTCTCTCGCGTTCTCTCGGCCTCTCTCGCTATCTCTCGCTCCCTCTCGTCTTCTCTCATCTCTCTCGGTTTTTTTCGCTTTCTCTCGCTGTTTCTCGCTCTCTCTCGTTCTCTCCCGCTCTCTCTCGCGTTCTCTCGCTCTCTCCCGCTCTCTCTCGCGTTTTCTCGCTCTCTCCCGCTCTCTCTCGCGTTCTCTTGCTCTCTCTTGTCTTCTCTCGCTCTTTCTCGGTTTTTCTCGCTCTTTCTCGCTTTCTCTCGCTGTTTCTCGCCTTCTTTTGTTCTCTCCCGCTCTTTCTC